AAATTTCAACTTTTACCGACTATTTTGTAATTAGTCGGAAATGAATGAATTGTCAGGCTTTAGCGACGAAATTTTTGGTCGCTAAAAGTCCCATTTGGCGACTAAGCACTATTTTAGTCAGGAAAAAGTAAATATTACAGATTATTTTTTTTTTTTAGCCTAAATTGTACACCAACAGCAACTAATATCCTATTTAGTCGCTGAAAAGTTTAACTTTTGCCAACTAATTTTAAATTTAGTCGCTAATTACAAATATTTACCGACTAAAATATTTTAGTAGGTAAATATGGAACCAATGCCAACCAAATTAAATTTTAGTCACCAAAAATTATACTTTTGGCGACTAAAAATGTTTTAGTCGCCAAAATTAGTCAGCAAAGGTGCATTCTCTTGTAGTGTAAGTTTTTAAATTTTACTCAACGAATTGGGAAATTTTTTTAAAAATTCAAAAATGACAAAATAAGCACAAAATAATATATATGTTTTTCATTATTTTGAATTTTTTAATTTTTTTTCAAAAACTTTCAATATTTTTTTTTACTCTTTTTTTAATTGACAAAAGTCAGTTGTTAATTATTAGATTATCATTTATGGGAGTTAGTCTCTCTACACTTGCAACCCTTAGGGAGAATTGAACCCATAATCTCTCTTGGAGAAGTCATAGTGGTCAAGTAAGGTAGGCTTATTTAGCTAGTTAGTTATAGATTCATTTACATCAGATGGGCTGAAAAAGTAAAAAATTAACATAATTGAAAGAAAATATTACTATAAACAAAAAGAGTTCCAAAAAAGATCATTATCACTATTTATTTGTCTATTTGTTCATGTCGCTTAGTTGTCCAAATGTCCTCCATTTGTCTACGTGTCATCTTCTATTTGTTCATGTGTCAACTATATGTCCACTTAATTTGCCTATTTGTCCATATAATTACCACCATTGGTCGCTATTGTTGTGACTTTTTGGATCATTTTTTGAACAATTTTTTTGGTGACAGCGAATTTTTCGACAATAATTTGTTTTTCTCACCAAATGCCATATCCCACATTAAAATTGACTTATCACAAACTACTCCTACTTTTTTTTAATAGCATTTTTATTGATTTTCTTATGTCATTAATGAATTTTTTTATTAAAAAAAATTAAAAATTTTATACTTAAAGATCTACTTGGTTAGGAAGACTCTAATAGTAAAAGTAAAATAAAATAATTTAGAAAACATTTCACAGACAAACGAACAAAAAATTATGTTGTTAATTTTTATTTTTTTTTTTATTAGTGAACTTTTTTTTTATTTAAAAAGTTACTTTTTTAAACCTTTCTATGGTAGCTGTATTTGAAAAGTAAAATAACATATAAAAAATTGACATAAATTTTTGGTAAAAAAACATCACTAAATATAAAAAAAGAAGTGTCTATTGTTGGAATTTTTTAATAAAATTAAAATTTATAAATTCAATATATTCAGTTATAAATTTTATAACAAATAAATATTGCACATAATTACTATTTATTATATGAATTAACATATAGTATTTTTTGTAGGTGTTGAATTTTGACCTCATAACCAAATCAAATCTCCTTACTGAGATTTTGGGAACTAAGTCGTAGAGCATGTAAAAAAATAGAGAAGCCCAACACCTGCACACAGAAAATAACAAGACCGGTGGCTCGTCCACCTAGGGGCACTCTAACAATTAAGTCAGTATTTTATCTCTCATCAACTAAACAAATAACTCTCCAGTAAAAGCATACCTTAAACCTATGGAGTGTCTTCTTTATATAATGAACAATGTCCTCGTCCCCTTAAAGTCTTACTATATAGGACTCTTATCGTTTTCAATGATTTCACTTATTAAGATCTCCAATTTGGAATATGATTTCCTAACCTATCCAAACAGAGAATCTGTCATCATCTAGGACTCTAGTCTCTTATCCGAATATCTAGGATTCAGATGTGGTCTGACCACACCTCAACTAATTAGAATCACCCATATAGCAACTCGACTAACCACTCAAGTCATGTGGATAACTCAAAATTATGTTCCCACATTTTTAATTTTTATGGTAGTATTAAAGAGATTTTATTTCTTTGTTAATATTCTTACACTAAAGATATACTGGTGTTAATTGGTGAAAATATGAAACTATAAAACACAACGAGTGCATTTATTGTTTAGAAATTTTAACATGCATACCTTTGAAATGGATGTATCATATATATATTTAGTTATGATGTTTTCTTTTTTAATTAAGATTAATTTCTTTTTTTTTGTTATGATATTATTTTAGTTATAACTCATGAATTTTTTAGTTATACCTCATGTTATATTTGGATATGACATTTTTTTTTTCTAAGGTATGACTTAGAAAATATGAAGTTACATCATTTTCTTCTTTAATTATAAGATATATATGGTACACACTTTTTGAAGGGTGTATACCATAGTGTTTCCTTACAAATGCACAATTTAAATTCACAATTATATTGAGAGTAATCAAAAAGTTTAATTGATTTTTTAGGTAATTTGGTTCATGATTCGTCCATTTCATTTCATTCTAATCCACATGAATATTTTATAAAAAAGGCTTATGAGTACATACACTACAAAAAAAGTCACTTTTAGCTACTAAAATATTGGTCGCCAATTGTCTGTTTTTTGGTCGCCAAAGCCATTCTGCGACAAAAGAATTTGGTTGCCACATTTGTCCCCAAAAACCTGTCGGGAAAGGTTTTGCCGACTAAAAAAGCTTTGGTCGGCAAAAAGCAAGTCTTTAGCGACCAAAATCTTGGTCGCCAATAGTCAAGGAATCGCCGTCCAAAATCTTTAGTCGCCAAAAGCTACCAGACAGCGACCAACATTTTTAGTCGCCAAAAGTTTCATCCGTGAAAAAAAATAATTCATTGTTAAGATTTGCATCCGCTCTTATAAAGACTCGAACCACAGACCTCCCACAGCATAAGCCTTATGCACCACACATTTCCCACTACGTCAGCGTAACACCACATGATTATATATGTAATATATATTATTTATATATATGTAATATACATAATTATTTTTATTGATATAATTTATGTAAAAATAAATTATTTAGTAGCAAAATAAAAATAAAAATTTAACTTTTAGTAACCAAAATATTTTTGGTCGGCGAAGAGACTTTTGCGCTTAAAAAGACCACTTTTAGCTACTAAACATATTTTTAGTCGCCAATTGTAGACTATTTGGCTACTAAATTTTTTTTCGTCGCCAAAAAACTTACTTTTGGCTACTAAAAAATGTTTTAGTTGGTAAAACCCACATAATTGGCGACCAAACTTAGAATTAGTCGCCAATTGTAGACTTTTTGGCTACTAAATTTTTTTTAGTCGGCAAAAACTGTACTTTTGGCTAGTAAAAATGTTTTAGTCGGTAAAACCCACATAATTGGCAACCAAAATTATAATTAGTCGGCAATTGTTGATTTTTTGGCTACTAAATTTTTTTTAGTCGGCGAAAACTATACTTTTGGCTACTAAAAATGTTTTAGTCAGTAAAACCCATATAATTGGCAACCAAACTTATTTTTAGTCGCCAATTGTGGACTTTTGGCTACTAAATTTGTTTAGTCGCCAAAAAGCTTCACAATTGGCTACTAATTCTTTTTTAGTCGTTGAAAGCTATACTTTCAGCGACCAAATTCTTTTTAGTCTGGAAATTTGGTCGCAGAATGTGTTTTTTCTTGAAGTGATAGGTTATATTTTAAAATTGTTAGACTTTTGTAAACACAAATTTTGTATCCCGTAATTAAGATAAGAAAAAAATATACAAATAATTAATTTTATTAATTTAAATAAAATAGGTACAATTCTCTGTGGGTTACACTAATTACAATGGTGATCTTCTGATTCAATCTTCTTATATAGTTGCAATCCAACTGTTGTTGAAGTTTGTTATTGAATCAAACAAGTTAATGGCTTTCTTCAAGTTTTTACACGAAGAAGCTTGAGGAATGAAATTTGATCGAAAGCTTGAACGGCATGATCTCGGACAAACAACGAATCAATCTTTTAGCGGGGCTTGATGCTTGAACACGTAGGAGACATGGCTGTAGACGTCCCCGAACGTCCCGGGAGGGAAATCCCCCCCGTTTGTTCATTATGGGCTCACTACAGTTCAGGACTCAATGTCACGGTCCTGTATCTAATCTCGCAGAGTGCAATGCAAGACCGATGAATCATCAAAGAGTCCAAATCTGGCAAATCGTTTTTGAAAAAAACTGATTTTTAGAAACAAGTGCCAAACATGGACTGCTTTGCCAGATACAGAGTCGCCACCTAAATATTTTATTTTGGGGAATTTAGGAAACCCTGACTCGTTCGCCTAAGGCCACGTGTCTGTCATCACAAAAGTTGCCTCGGCTCAGGAACTTGGGTACAATTGAGGAAGGTCACTTCGTGGGCACCCCCGCTTGCCCGATCAAAGATCGGCCTCTACTAACCATGATATCTAGTTTTGAAAACATTATGCGTTCTTATTCCAGTTATTAGCCTAGATTTACTATGTGATGCGCACAGCATACAAGTATAGACTGGATCCCCTGAATTGGAACAACACATCTCATGTTTGTTTATTTTGAAAATGATTTGATGGTGCTACCCGCAAGTAGGCTAAGATGTGGATTTGCCACCCTCGGGTGGGCTTAGAAAACGTGATGGTTTGCCACTCTTAAGTGGTCTTAAAACTCACAGTCAATGCATTATTCCAATTCAGATAATCCAACCTTCACCCACAAGCATTCAGGCAGGTATATCACATAAGCACATAGCCTCAGGGTAAGCATGCTATCATGGCAGTCACTCACACACATGCAAGGGTGCTAAAGCATAAACACTTACCGAGTACTCCAAGCCAAAACAGAAGCTATGTTAGAAATCCATGCATGATCCTAACTATGTTGAAATGCCTAATGCAACACATGCAAAAATTTTGTTTTCTGTACTAAACAAATAATTTGGGACGGAGGTAGTAATAATTATCTTGATGTTGGCCTTGTTCACCTAGTAACTCTTCAACTTATTTTATATTCAATCATAATTGTACTCCTTCCTACTTGAAACTACTATAATATATGATGATGGTAATTCCAATAATTGTTAAACATGGGTTGTAGGGGTCTCCCATGGGTTTTATTTTGAGCCAAGTTATTAAATGGGTCATTATATATAGGTCAAAAGTCTAAATTTCTTATTTTGATATTGAAGTAGAATTAGAAGTCATTAAAGTTTCCCATTATGATTGAAGTAGAATTGAAAGTCATAGTCGGTCTAGAATATTAGTAGTTGGTAAATAATTTTAGTTTCTAAATTTGAGTTATAGTCCTTACAAAATTAGGAGAGTCATTAGCCTATAAATATATGTGTAATCTTAAGAATTCAATAGAGGAGTTAATATTATGAAAATTCGAGATTGTGTTTGTGTGATTGGCCTATCCCTTGTGAGGGTGAAGCGCCCCCCCCTCTCTCTCTCTCTCTCTCTCTCCCCTCTTCTATCCAACAAGGCTACTGTTCGCGTCACTGTTCACAGTGCTCAGAACAGCCACCCGACAGCCCCTAAACACTTGTGTTTTCATTCCCAAAACCCTACCCTTTTACAAATCCTTAAACTCCTATTTTAAATACTTTTGCTCCCATAAAATCCTACTAAATCCAGCCCTATAAGTCTATTGTTGCTTCTGCCAGTATACTTAACTCGGCTCATTACTTGTGGGAAGGTAATCCCTACTCGTCCTACATCAATATATATATTTTATTTCTAAAGTTTTAAAGCACTTGTAAATATATATATACTTTCTTAAGTGGCAAGATTACATTTTCAAAAAACCCAGTTCTATAAATAGTGGGTCTATCAGCACCATGAGCAGTTATTATGGTCAACAGATTGATTAAGCAATCAAGTTGAAAATGAACTTAATTGATTGTAGGACTTCTTGTGGCTTTGATTAACTTTGTGAATATGGCAGCTGCCCTTTCTGTGAGCAATGGTTTTGGATTGGCAGTTATGTAGGTTGGTTTGTTTTAATTAAATGTTACATAGAAGAATAAAAATGCCAACATGGCATGTAAAAAAGTATTAAAAAAAAGCTAACAAAGTAACATAGGTGGCATAAAAAACATTATAATGGGAATTAATTGTTAAAGAGTGTTAGATTGGGAATCCTTTTTATTTTATTTTATAAAATAGTGTTATTTTGGACAAAAAAACTCATTTTATTTTGGGCTGAATTTTCTAACTTTTGCAATATATTATTTGCAGCTTCTTGATTCATGCCTAAAATCACCACTTCTTCCAGCATATTTAGCTGCTGCTTTTGCTAAGAAATTGAGCAGACTGTCACTTTCAGTTCCTCCGTCAGGAGCGTTGGTCATTATTGCTTTGATTCACAACCTTTTACGGAGACATCCTTCAATCAACTGTTTGGTTCATCGGGTAGCAATTTGCACTTAAGTTCTTGTATCAACGTAATTGTTTGTCTTTGAAATCTTTGCAAAATATATATGACATCATGGTTGTTGGATTCGTGCAAATGAAACTGGGGACTTATGCTGTGCATAATATTATTAGGCATGCAAACACACAAACTGTGACTCTCTCTCTCTCTCTTCAAATGCTAGAACAAAATACATGGTCTCAATGTTTTCATAATAGCAAAATTAGCATAAATTTTTAAGTTGACCAAAGGATTTATTTACTTTGGAGTCCCAGGGTACGTCATTGATAGTAATGCATGTAGTGAAGGTAAATCGAATGTTAAAATTATGAAGATATACTTTGCTATTCATTTGCTATAGAGCTTTGTGCCGGAGAATAGAGGTACAAGATGAGCAAGGATGATGTGGTATTATTGAATCATATTGTGGAAAATTATGCCTAGGTTACAGCTAAAGTGGCCATTGTTATCTTGAATCGACCATTTATGAACATTGCTAATATAGTTAAAGCAAAGTGCATAAAGTGGAGAAATTTGTTTACTGCAGTGTGTGAATGATAAATATGTTTTGAATTGCAAGGAAATTTCATATGATAGGTAGAAACTGCTCATGCTTTATAGAATAGTGAGCTGGAGAATTATGAAATTGATAGGTAGACGCTACTCACTCTCTCATGTCTCAACTGAAATGGAATATTTTACATTTCTTTAAGTTTAGAGATTTTATTATATTTTACAATTCTTAAAAGTTTAGAGATTTGAGTTTACTTGGGTTGGACCATGTTCTCCTTATATCTATTTGATCTTTTGATTATTTTTTACTCTTTATGTATCTTAGCAGCATTCAGAAGAGCTTGGGCTCAGCATTTTTTAATATTTTCTATTTGAGAACGAGGAAGTTTCGATATTTGTGCAGGAGAATGGTGATGGAACTTCTAGGGATAATTCTAGAGTGGAGGATGGTGAAACCGAGGACTCCTGTACCAAACCAGAAATATCTACCAAACCAGAACTATCTAGTAAAAAATCAGGGATTGATCATTTCAACAATGAGGAAAGTAATCCTGTAAAAACTGATGCAATGAGTAAGTTTATGCTTCGAGATCTGTAAAGTTTCATGTATTTGAATATTTTGCTTTGCCCCAACTCATGCCACCAGCACCACCATGAACATATGTACAGTACACCCACAGAGTTGAGGTTGGGTAGGGGGGATTCACTGTCAAAGCATGTTGTTTTTCTATCTTTTCTTAGATATATAAAAATCTCCTTTTTCTGTGTGATGCTTCTACTCTGAACAACTACGAGTATGTTCTATTGTTTCTCTGACTCTGCTTCTATATTTTAAAACAATATATATATATATATATATATTCCATTATATAAAGCACACAATTCAGAACATGTTTTGAAGCTATGACATGCATTTTCTCAAATCCAAATTATTCTTATGCAAATAAATCTTTAATATGCATACACGCTTTTGTGTTTTTGTCTGAGTTTGGAAAACCTTTTAATGGCTAGTACTTTCTTGAACCTGCTTCTGTTGTTTCTCTCTCTGTGTTTCTATATTTCAAAACAATATATATATTCTATTATATAAAGCACACAATTCAGAACATGTTTTGAAGCTATGACATGCATTTTCTCATATCCAAATTATTCTTATGCAAATAAATCTTTAATATGCTTACACGCTTTTGTGTTTTTGTCTGAGTTTGGAAGACCTTATAATGGCTAGTACTTTCTTGAACCTGCTTCTGTTGTTTCTCTCTCTCTGTTTCTATATTTCAAAACAATATATATATTCTATTATATAAAGCACACAATTCAGAACATGTTTTGAAGCTATGACATGCATTTTCTCAAATCCAAATTATTCTTATGCAAATAAATCTTTAATATGCATACACGCTTTTGTGTTTTTGTCTGAGTTTGGAAGACCTTATAATGGCTAGTACTTTCTTGAACCTGCTTCTGTTGTTTCTCTCTCTCTGTTTCTATATTTCAAAACAATATATATATTCTATTATATAAAGCACACAATTCAGAACATGTTTTGAAGCTATGACATGCATTTTCTCAAATCCAAATTATTCTTATGCAAATAAATCTTTAATATGCATACACGCTTTTGTGTTTTTGTCTGAGTTTGGAAAACCTTATAATGGCTATACTTTCTTGAACCTGCTTCTGTTGTTTCTCTCTCTCTGTTTCTATATTTCAAAACAATATATATATTCTATTATATAAAGCACACAATTCAGAACAAGTTTTGAAGCTATGTCACGCATTTTCTCATATCCAAATTAACCTTATGCAACTGCTCAGATGACAGTCACAGCCATCTTTTCTGTACATGCATCGCACTTGTGTGTAGCCTTCTAGTATGTATTTATAAATGAGGACATTGAGATGGATCGATATTGTCAATCCCAACTAATTGGGAGTAGACTTTATTGGTAGCTAGTCACCTTGAGTACTTTGTTGATTCATTCAGCTTTCTGGCCTGTGAGAAGGATGCGCAGATTGAAGCAATTTTCAGTTAAATGCTTCCCTGTTGCTCATGGATATTTGATATCTTTTTGTCTGCTATTATCTGTTGTGGAGTCTACAAAAACCCGGGAGTCCTACTTATTGACAATTACGTGACTGCAAATTTGTACCTTTTATACCATGTTATTCTTTTGATTTCACTATTGAGTTGGTAACTGTCCTGCTTTCATCAGTCCGCAAATATCCTGTATGATTAATGTATAAATTTTCATTCTTCTTGACTGCTATTCTTCTTTTCTTGTTAGCATTTTATGTCTTTCAGAAGAAAACAATGCCTAACAATTGACAACATGTGTACAGGAAGTTCTCTTTGGGAGATTGATACCCTCCGTCACCACTACTGCCCACCTGTATCAAGGTGCATGCTTTAACCTGATCATCTCTGTTTCCTCTCTTGAATGTGCATGCTTGTTTGCGTTCTTTAGAATAATGTGTTTTAATTACATTGTTTGGCATTTCCTTTTCATTGACAATACCTACTTTCTTCTTTTTTTAGATTTGTTTTGTC